GGGGGGGTGGAACTGAGAAAAAATCCTTAGATTGGAGAGAAGCTTTTACTGATCTCATTATAGATCAAACTGTGATCAATGCAGGTCAAACAGGTCAAGATGAGCCTGAGACCGCTTGCATTTCCAAGACTATTAGCACAAATGAAAATTAGATTGATCAAGTCAAGTGAATCATCAAACCCAAAAAAAACCATTAAAAACACTCAAACCGATGAGGCAATGACTCAATCAACCCTCAACCGTTTATTTCGAACCATCCGGTCTAGTTGGTTCGTATACCTCCATCTCCACCAGCTGGACCGACCAACCCGTTGGCCCCTTCCCGGATCATTTCTCACTTTATTCAGTCCTACCTCGTGAAGACTCTATGCTGGAGGTTTCCACGGTCAAAGAGCCAAGCAACCCAGAACGGTTCAGCTCTCAGGTCCGACCCGATTAAACCAACAAGAAGAAACCGCAGACTGCAGAAACACTAACGTGCACGTTACGGATACATTGGCAAATGGCAAGGCCTGGGTGGGCGTGTTATCTGTTTTCACCATTACTTAACCGGATGTTCCGGTCACTCCCGTTCAGAAACTAGTAAAACATGCTCACCAACCTTGGCAAACCGTAACCGGTATTTAAGTTAACCTACATAACCCAAGATCTCCGGGAAACCAGGATCCGACACAGGTCTAAAGAGACCACATGTGGGGACTTCGAAATTCCAGTTGTCCGTTGCAGACATGAAAAATCCTTCTCGCTTCTCAATTCCTTCCTCGGAAAAGAAAAACAAGAATGAAAGTTGCTGCATTGGGTAAGCAAGATCTATTTACAAGTCGACGGGGCTCCGAGTGACTGACAAATGGACCCGGGTCCACGTGTTGTAGTTAACCCCACATTGCCTTCTGTCTGTTCAAATTATCAGATGTATAAGATGGTGAAAATGAACCGTTTGATTGGGTTCAATGCTATGGTTCAGTTTCCATACTCCTGGTATGGCCCACTCAAATTAGACTTGGGACAAGCAACTTTATATATTTAAAGGAATGTCATATTTTCGAAAAGAACCTCTAATAGGTCGGGTCTGGTCCGAAAAAGGGTGGAACCGGCCCAACCCAATTATTGTAGGGACACAAAATTCAGAATTCAGAACCAGAACCAAACCAATTATCAACGGGGACAATCGGGTTTGGATCGATTAGACCCAATTATATTTGATATATAATAAAAAAATCTATAATACATACCTTCTTTTCAATTGGAATCAACGTTTTAAAAAATGACCAGGAAATGGAACTGTTTTGGCCATCGGTTTTTGGGTCGATGGTTTAACCGTTTGGTTTGAATGAACAGCCTATTTTAACAAATAAATTAAGAAAATTAAAAAATAAAAATAGTCAAAACCGTTGAACTGGTCGATGGGTCGACGGTTCGACCCCCGGATCAATAGGCTGTTGACTTTTTCAATGGTTTTTTACCAAAGATCATGTTTGGGGTAAAACGGAATCAGTCGCCTGAACGGTTCCAGGCAGAACGGTCCGACTATCTGGATCAACGACGGTTTGAAAACCTTGATTGGAATTTCACTTTTAATAATACTAGTAAACATGTACGTGCATTTGCACGTGATAGTATCTCTAAGACAAAATTATTTATAATTCATGAACAGATTTTGAACAGTTATAAGTGGGCAGTTTTTAAGATGAGAGTAAAAAGCATATATGCCCTCTTTATGCCCATTGTATGTTTAGACAAAAAGAATAGAAAACGTCCAATAAAAATTCTAAAATGAATATACATAATCTCAATAAAAATAACACTAAAGTAAACTGTAATTATGCATATAAAACAATAAGAGTTTGTTAATTTGGCTTACAGGAATAAGAGTCTGGAATGGGAATCAGTTAATCCATTCGGATTCCAACTATTTGACCTGGTAGAATGGATTTAATGGTCATTCCCTCCCCATCCTTAGAAATAACAATTCCATTTCAGTTAATTCCCATTCTGGATTCCAATTCTAACTGTGAATCAAATAGACCTAAGCTTTTTTTTAACTACAATTATCTTCTATGTATTATATAAAAATTATTTTTAAACATAAAATATAACAAAAATTACAAAAAAAAAAAACCGCGATGCCTTGATATATCATTAATTACATAATCGGTATAAGATGTTAATTGGTTCTGAATTGCAAAACCCAGTTCCACCCCATTTATAATAGATCAGATGTGCGCCCCACAGCACATCCCAACGTGCATTCGGAACATTTCCCAATTACAAATACAGGAGTACACACTGAGATGTGCATGTGACCTTTGTGGGTACAGATGTGAACTCTGAGGGCACAAAACCCAGAATAATAACAACTGATATAATTGATTCTGTTCTCTTAGGTAGACCCAACCCATTGACAGCTATAATTTATGAAGGGCAATTATATCATTTTATATGAATCTCAGTAGTGGGAAGCGTGTAGGGTGAGAATTCGGTTTTTTTGGTTCAAAACCGAACCGAAAAATTGAAATTTTCAAAACTGATTTAATAAGATGGTAAATCGAATCGAAACTGAAATATGTGAAAATGGATTAAACCAAATTAAATTTTTTTTTGGATTATTTTTGGATATTTTGCTTAAAAAGAAGAAAAAGAAGAAGCTATCTATAACTTTAAGGTTGTAATTGAAGGTGAACGATTGAACTTGAAAGCCCTAAAAGAACGGAAAAAGCTGCAAGACTTAAAGTATTGAGTCTTGGTTATCTGAGATTGACTCTCTATCTCTTAAACTGAAACAGGAGGACTGGAACCTAAAGGAAGATGCAGCTTGCAAGAACAAGACACACTCACATATCAGGCCTCACACTCTCACGTAGAGGCAGAGCAGACGCAGCTGCAGCCGGCAGGACAGGATTGACGATTGAGGAAGACACCCTCAGCCCCTCACCTAGTAGGCAACAACAATGCAAATTTTCAAATGCAAAGAGATTAGAAAGAAACTAGAGAGTCAAAGAGAGACCGATTGAAGAAGGAAAACGCTTAGACGCCCGTGCCAATAGTTTACTTGTTTTTGAGTTTGCTTTTTATGGAAACTTGGCATTAAATGAGTAATGATGCATATTACATAATACATTAAATATTAATATAAAATTATAAATTATAATATAAATAATATTAAAAATATATAGTTATAAAGGTAAATCAGTTTTTTTGATTAATTGATTTATCAATTATAATAATCGAAACCAAAACTTAAAATACAAAACCCGACTGAAAAACCGATTAAACTGAATCGATTAAATCAAAACCAAAATTATACTCACCCCTACAAGTATTAACTTGGAAGAGAGGGAGCAAGTTGAGAATGAGAAAAGAGAGATCCAAGTATGTAAACAAGTGTGACCTTGTGAAGCTTTAATAATGCGATCTCCAAAGGGATTTGGAGTCAATTTGCCGATTTTATTGATTCTACAGCAAGTAAATCCATACAAATGCATAAATTAAATAGAAATTTAATTAAATTTAAGTTGATAAATTTAGATTTTAATATTAGTTTGGATTGATGTTACAAACATTAATTATTGGGGAAGGGGGTTAAAAATGAATTTATTAGAAAGTAATGATGAATTTTATTAAAAAAAATAAGACCTAATAAAGTTTTTAATGTAACTTAATACATTTTTTATAATTCAATTAAAAATACATAAGCACATTTTGAAAAAATGAAAGGGATAGAAAAACGTGAGTTATATGGTAAGCTACCCCTTTCCTTTTACCTTTTAGATATAGATAGATTGTCAGAAATTGGGATCTGTGATACCTCACAGAACGCGTCTCACAGCGACATGCCACCCTGAATCATCTCTCATAATAATAAATACTAAGTACGGAAGATTTTCGATGTGCGGCAGGATATGCCGTGAAGTCGGTGTGAGGCGCGCTAACCGCTAAGTGAGGAGCAGATCCGGACTAAGATAGTCAGATTGCCGTTGGCCGGTGGGGTAGGGGAGGGACGAACCTGGGATATCGCAAATTTGCATGGGGAAATCAGAATCAAGAACCAAGCACGAGGACGCTTGGCCTCGTGGCCTGGTGGCACCACGCCTTTATCACCAAATGTCTTTCCTCTATCCAGCCAACACCACCCCTTTCTCTGCAAATCTGCAAACCAGACATAACTATACACAGCCGGCCAAAGAGAAAAGGTCTCTCTCTCTCTCTCTCTCTATGTTCCCTGTTCGATTTATTAAAGCCTTTCTATCGCCACTCTTCTAGAGAGGGAGAGAGAAAGAGAGAGGATGAGGGACTGGGAGAAGGTCTCATCTCGTTGGGCATCTTCATCTTCATCACTTAAGCTCCTTCTGTTTGTAGTTCCTTTGGTTCTGGTTTCTGGGTTTGTTTCTGTAGTAGGTCCAAGAACCTCTACTTGGGTTTCCTTATCTTATTATCCATGGCCATGGGGATCTGGTTTTCCTTCTTCTTCTTCTTCGACTACAACTGTTATGACAATGACGACGACTAGCTTATCAACCAAAGAAGGTGAGCAGCAATTGAAGATACATCTGACTCCGAAGGTGGTGGGCCTTCATCATGTAGAAGAAACTCTCTCTGATACTTCCATCTTCAATCGCTCTTCTTCAGTGCTGGCTAAAGAGATTTTCGAAACCCAACAACTCGTAAGAGTAGTCTCTAATATTTGACCTCTAAAGACTTGTCTAATCATGGTTCTACCATGAATTTAGGACTAAAACTCTGAAAGGTTACTTATTTTCTGTTATATTGATTTGTAGGATGAAAAAAATGTAAAGGAGTTGCAGAGTCCAATTGACAGATCTGATGCTTCCCCTGTAACGATGAAGGCAGCTGATGTTGGTCCAGCGACAATGGAGGTGGAGGAAGATGGTAAACTAGAGAGATCACTTAATGGGTATGATGTTTCTCCGGTAATAATGAAGGTGCCCGAAGAAGAGAACAAACAAGAGAGGCTTAATGCGTCTGCTGTGGCAGAAGTGCAGAAAAAACGCAGAAGCAAATTGGAGAGGCTTGAAGCAGGCCTTTCAAGAGCTCGAGTCACAATAAGAGAAGCTGCTCATCAGAAGAGGAACCAAACTCCAGACTTAGACTATGTCCCACAAGGCCCCATGTATTGGAATGCCCAAGCCTTCCACAGGTACCAAGTATAGTAAAAACTAAAATCTCTCTCTCTCTCTCTCATTTGTTTCTCAATGTAGGAGTTATCTGGAAATGGAGAAACAGTTCAAAGTCTTCGTCTATGAAGAAGGGGAGCCACCACTGTTCCACAACGGTCCCTGTGGAAGCATATACTCGTCGGAGGGAAACTTCATTCACCAGATGGAGATGGACAAACGCTTTAGAACCCAACATCCTGAAGAGGCCCACGTATTCTTCCTGCCCTTCAGTGTTGCAATGATGGTTCGATTCGTCTATGTGCGCGACTCCCATGACATTGGCCCCATAAAACACACTGTTACCGACTATGTCAACATCATCGCCGGAAAATACCCTTACTGGAATAGAAGCCTTGCCGCCGATCACTTCATGCTTTCTTGCCATGACTGGGTAAGACATTTTTCTTCCTCTTCTTCTTCTTCTTCAATTCCCCTCTCCAAGTATTCTCAGAATTTTGTTGGTCATGGGATTGACTGGGCTTCACTGGCTATCCAATAAAAGCCAGGGGATCAAATGGGTTGGATCATGGGTTGAAATTGGGAGTCTTGCTAAAAAACAAAATGGGCCTGCCCACATGATATTTCCTTTGATGTCTCCAATTAGACTTTCTCATCTCCTTATTTGACAGGGGCCAGCCACATCTACCTATGTTCCACATCTGTACAACAATGGTATCCGGGTTCTCTGCAATGCAAACACCTCTGAAGGATTCAACCCGGCCAAGGATGCATCCTTCCCAGAAATCAATATGGTAACAAGAGAAATCAAGGGTTTGATTGGTGGCCCATCTCCTTCTCATCGCCCAACCCTAGCATTCTTCGCCGGAAAACTGCACGGGCCCGTCCGGCCAGTGCTGTTTGAGCACTGGAAGAACAAAGATGAAGATGTACAGGTTTATGAGTCCCTCCCAAGAGGTCTGTCTTACTACGACATGATGAGGAAGAGCAAGTATTGCATCTGCCCGAGTGGGTACGAGGTGGCAAGCCCCCGAGTTGTCGAGGCACTGTATGTGGGCTGTGTTCCTGTGTTGATTTCAGACCATTATGTGCCACCTTTCAGCGATATTCTGAACTGGAGGTCCTTCTCAGTTGAGGTTCCAGTAAATGAAATTCCCAACCTGAAGAGGATTTTACTGAATATATCTTCAAAGCAGTATATAAGGATGCAGAGGAGGGGGCTTCTGGTGAGGAAGCATTTCGAAGTGAACTTTCCACCCAAGAGGTTTGATGTCTACCACATGATTCTTCATTCTGTCTGGCTCAGAAGACTGAATGTTCGAATTCATGATGAACAAATATAGAGAAGGGACGACGACGAAAACAGAAATACTCTAATCATAAATCACTGTTGCAGTCGTCAGTGTCGGTTGTGGGTTAGTAATCATTCAGTTTAGTTCTCCAGTAGGATTCCACAAGGGTCAATGGGATGGTTGGTCTGGAACCTGGACCTTATCATTCACTACATTGTAAGATTTTTGCCTTTATGAGCTCATGTACTCGAAATGCCTGCTAGCAATCATAACTGTATCTGTATGAGTGCTTGACCAGCCTTTTGAATTGTTGAGAGAGAGAGAGAGAGATGTCTAGGACTGATTTTGCTTTCTAATCCAATTCTAGCCATGCCTATGTTGCCATATGCCACAAATGTCCGTACGGTTAGTATTGTTCTTTCCTCGTATGTAACCTGCACTGCATCATCTGCAACTTCTGTTCAATTCGCAAAAGCTCTTTTCTGAAGGAATTTTAACGCTTTCAATCTCCGAAACAAATAAAAAAAAGAACTCTGATAATCATTCAAGTTCCCATGGATGCACCAATGTCTTTGGCTTCCTCCAAGAACCACTAATGGGGTTATACCCTCCTAAATCCTGATTGAATGGTGATATGGCTCTATGCTGGGCCAAGAACCAAGCGAGAAGTGGCTCCTGCTTTAATTACATTAACGTATGGTATTAAAAGGGACAGTTGAATATTTGAAAACTTGTGCAAAGAAATACCCTTAGCAGGAGAGAGAGAGAGAGAGAGAGAGAGATTTCTATTTTATAGTGGTTTGTGTGTAGCAAAAACAGATTACATGGGAAGATGAAAACATTGAGCACTATACTCGTGTAATGTATTTATGACAGAAGTGTAGCAGTTTATTAATTTTTCTTTCATCCACATGGTCATCTCTTATCGAATTCTCTCTTGAAACATCACCCTTTGTGGTAGTCCACCGATTCAAAATACTCTGCACCCTGCTAAGCTGAGATAGAGAATGAAGGGAAACAAGATTACAAGTCAATGCCCATATGTACAGCTAAACATAAACGAAACACCTGACGACAGCAAGAGACTTTGATGCACTTCTCTCTAGTATCTTCTACTATGGGTAGATAAGGATACAGATTTGGTCATGTTTGTTTTCAGAACAGTAGTTAGCCTCTTATCATCTCCAGCTAAATCCTCCGACTGGTGATCAATGAGATCTTCTTCGATAAAATCCAAATGGTCTACTAGATTCAATACGTAGCTATGTAGAGTTGTGGGACTCATCTCATCTTCTTGAACTTCACTTAATATCCTTGCCAAGACACTCCAGAGTGCACTCCGTGCCTCTGGATCATCAGAAACAAAAGGAAGAATCTCTAGAAGGCCCTGTAAAAAGGAAATATCTAGATAGGACAAATGCGCAACTCGTTAGCAATGAAGTTCTTGAAGATGCTCAAATTAAATAATAATAGCTAGTTTACCTTGTGAAATCTCTGAAGTCAGACTAGGGGCATCAGTCAAAATATTTGCAACCAAGACTACAGCAGTAACACAAGAGCTGGCTATCTGTAATAAAATATATATATTGCTCAGAAATATCCATAAGTATTGACTATATGCACTGGTTGACAAAATCTAGAATGAGAAATGTATGTCTAATAGTTTAATTATCTTCTCCTAATCTACATTTCAAGCTTGATGATATCTTCATCATCATCTAAGCCTTGTCCCAACTATATGGAATGGGCTACATAAATCGTGTTTCACCATTCCACTCTGTTCAGTGTCATATCCATCATTATTCAAGCTTCATAATGTAATGAGATATAATTATATCCCGTATACTTATGGATGAGGAAAATTTTAAAATATAATTAAACCTTTTGTAAAACTAAACAAAACAAATATTTTATTATATAGAATTATTATATAACCATAGTTATAATATTAACTATTTTTACATTAATCTAATATTATATATATTAGAATAATTACTCAGTAGCAGTTAATAACAATTCTATTCGAATTATTGCATTTAATATTATATTTTTATGTTTAATTTAGTTATTATTTTATTCCCGTTTTCTAAATCATTTCCTATGGGCATCTTGAATTTGCACTTTTCTGTTGAAGTATGCAATTTGGGGAGAGACCCTTCCAAACTCCTGTCATGAACCCCCACCCCCCAGGAAAAGGTAAAAGCCAAAAAAAAAAGAGGCTTTCAGGGATTCTCCACAAATCCACAAAACTCAAATGCAATAGGACTTTCAGGCAATGTATCTACTTTTCTATTCCAAGGGTGAAGTTTGAACTTTGAAATCCCACTATATATATTAAAAACAAATCCACAAAACAATCTAAAAACCAAATGCAATAGGGTTCTCAGGCAATGTATATACACCTCAGCTTTATCAGGAAGTGTGACTAAACCATAAACTAGTCTGAAAAGCTCCTTATTTGAAGAGACCACTTGTGAATAATTGTCAGCAGCAGAAAGAGCTTCAATTGTGCGAAGAATGGTTTCAATAACAGAATACCTGAAATAGGATAAAGTTTGAACATCAAACAACTGACATTGTATGCCAATTGCTCCTGAGTATTTTCACAAGCACCACATGGTAATGTAACCACATCTACATGGTAATGGAAGAAAAGGGAAGCTTTCAGGAAAATGGTCTAACAGAAGACCTTAATAATTACCATACGAGAACAGAGAGAGATAGAGATAGAACTTTCAATTTTTAAGTTTGCCAAGATATGTAAATATGGATATCCTCACAACTGTTGCATTAGGTATTTAAACCAAGTTCACAACCTAAAATGAAAAATTAGGTTTTAGAAATGAAAGAGCATGGCATGCCAATGACTAGCATGGGATAAATAGCTGTGATGCACATGATGCATCTTATTGTTTCTCATCCCATTCCAAAATACTTCTTCAAACCACAAAGAAAAATAGAACATATTGAGATCAATAGAACCTGTAAAATGTCAGATAGTTTATCATACACAAATTTTTTACAAGACGATCATTTCCCAATGTCCTATTATTAAGTTATTACAGAGTTTTATTTGCCAGCAAAGAACCAGGAGGGATCTTTAAGGTTGACTGTGTCAAAAATTAAATGATAGTGTGACATGCAAAAGAGGAAATAGGATGTTTAAGGGACCTTCAGGTGTCAGTCATTATGACGGCTTCCTCTAACCCCCAGCATGATCAAACTGAACCTTGATAGTTGCAACTTGGGAAATCCAGGAATTTCTAGAGTTGGGGGCAATTTCATAATTTGGAAGGACACATCACTCCAAGCCAGCTGATTATGGTAATTCCACTAAGACAGAGATATGGGCTGTTTTACAAGGGCTAAGGCTGCCGGCTGCCAAAGTCATCACGCTAGGACATCTTGATTGGCAGGCCTGATACCACTTGATGTAGGACTTGAATGGCCAAGGAATGAGTTTTACGAGGGTTAGGATGAGTTTAGGAGTGATTTAGGAGTAAAAATATAGATTGGTTAGGTTAGAAAAGGTTTATGCCCTTATGAACTTTATCATAAAAACTATATAATTGTTCCACAATGGTGAAAAACTTAGAAATAAGAAAATAGGTCTATAACAATTTGATCAAGTTTAGAGTAATGATGGACACAGAAGGCCAAAAATTGTAGGAATAGGAGAAAACTCTAAAAGTAGAGAATCTAGGATTTTAGGTGGATTGTTGAGATGTTATTTGGAGGGATGAAAGTATGTTAGGCATATGGAGCTGTTTAAATATGGGAGTGATCAGAGAGTTGTGATACAAAAAGACAAAAATGGCTAAAATAAGAAAATTCCAAGTTTTGGTTTGGGGGGGGACTTTCACCTAGATCAGTTCCAATCCTTTGAGTATATTAATGAATGTCTTTTGATGTAAAACTTATGGCTGATGGCTGTAATGACATCTGGAAAGATCAAAGAGAGAATAAAGAGAACTGAAATCACTTAATAGGATACCCATAATCACCCTTAAGGCATGGGAATTAGTCAGCACAAGCATAATATGCTGAAAAATAACATAAATGCATTCCAATAGCTTAGCCTATGTTTTTTGGCTCTAGAGTCTAGACAGATATATATGGACACCATTGAGAGGGATCAATGCTACTAGAACTAAGAAAAAACAAAAATTACAGATCTGCCACTATCATAAGCAAACACAGTTAACTCCTGAATTACTTATCCAATGACTGAAATTTTAAATACTAGTGAACTATCACTATATAAATCAAACTCTAAGGTCATACCCCACAGACAACATATAAAACGACCAACCAACCCCCCCCCCCACACACACACACATCTAAAATGCAAAAATACAGAAAATTCTATATTTGGCTCGTTGGTTCTTGCTTCAAAATCACCAAGCCAGCAATAGAACTGAGGACAGCCTATAGATGGATTCCAAGATTTGCCAAAAGTGTTGAAGGCTTGCAAAACAAGAGGCAGGTAGAAGCCAAATATATTGGGGTTTAATCCCCAAAGCAGGAATTTGTAACTATCATGCCAAGCTCTTGATAATGTGGCTATCCAGGCTAGCTAACTTTAAAGAATGACTGATACAGGCCTGTATATCATTGCCATACATATTTTAATAAAATGTTTTTAAGTATTACTGATAAAAAAATACCTGTCAGGTGTTCGCTCCCCAGTTAACCTATTCACCTCAAATGCCAACAGATTAATCAGAAGAGCTGGCAAATTCAATTCCATCAAAGGTTGAAGAAGAATTTGTGTGACTTCTTGTTGATCATTTAAGATGGCTGACAATAGCTCTAGGGTCTGTTACAAACAACATGTTGACATTATATTAGAGAAAAATAAAAGTTGCTAACAACTTTAAGATATGATGTAAGGAAAAATACAATTAACAGAAAAGAAAAGTTAATGACAGTACTACAAAACTTGAATATCCGTTAGTAAAAGCACCTCAAAGCAAGTAATTTACACAAAAAGAAATGAGAATAACTGAGAACAATTTATACGAAGTTGGTTAAATATACTATTCTCATATAAATTCAAAATGATCAAATCTCACCATAAAGGACATGCTAATAATGTCTATGAACTTTAATTTACACATTAAAAAATAATGTTACTGCTGACACAGAAATGCTGCATGATCATTTGTTCTTGAAAGTTGATTTTATGCAAAATAACTCCAGTTACGAAGAATTGGGTTCAACAATTACCCCTATTGGCTCACTAGAAAATTTATTGGGAAAAAGGAAAACTTTGAAGGCCCGTCAACATTTATTTTGACCCATTGAGTACTGAGAGAGAAATTATGCTCTTAGAAGATACCTGCTATTGTTTACAGAATCATTACCAGGCCCTCTAAGAGATGGCTAATTTTGGTAGATTGAATTGCCAGGTAAACTGGCTGATCTGATGATGTGTACAATTGCTATTAGTGGGTTAAGGCCCTTTTTTTTTGAAAAGGTAAGGTAATTTTATTCAAACAGAAAGGAGAAATTACAACAAAACCCAGGCCTAAAAGACGGCCTGAGAACAACACAAGTTACAGACTCCACCAAGACTGAGACTGAAACAACAGGAACAAGTTCAGGTGTCTAAACTCCTCAGTAACAAACACCCAAGAGAACAGCTTGCCCACAGCTCTCGTACTAACTCTTCAAGACTTTTAGTTCTATTACAAAAAATTCTATTGTTCCTTTCGGTCCAAATGGACCACAAGACAGCTACAGGGATAGTCTTCCACACTAACTTTCCTTTCTTGCTTAAGCCTTTAACTTTCCAGCAGCACAGAAGCTCCTTGACTGGAACCCAGCTGATGTCCATAGATGTCAGGAAATGATCCCACACCAGGGAAGAAACCAAACAGTGAAGACAGAGGTGATCTATAGATTCTGGGAGGGAACCGCACAATCCACAAGAGGAGTCCAAAATTTGGATACCACGCCTCTCAAGATTAGATCTGGAGAGGCATTTGTCTAGGGCCATTGTCCACACCAGAAAGTTGGATTTTGAAGGACTTGTTGGATTCCAAGTCTGAATTTCAGGAAAGCCTGTGGCACCTGAGCTGCACAGTTTGGAGCCTAAAGACTTGGCAGAAAAGCATCCATCAGAGCTCCACTTCCAGTACCAATCGTCTTCCAAAGCTAAATCTATCTTCTGATTCTGTAGATTCTCCAGCAGCTCCATAATCTCTTCCAACTCCCAGTCAAATAAGCTCCTCATAAAGAGGGGGTCAAAGAAATAGAATCTCCAGAAAAGCTATAGTTCTCAGCCACTGAAGAATCTTGGTTAGTAGCACACTGGAATAGGAGAGGAAAAGCATCAGCCAAAGGACCCTCCAAGCACCAAGAGTCCTTCCAAAATTTAATTCTATCCCCTTTGCCTACCTTGAATGAAACACCTTCCAAGGAGACAGAAAAAATTTTCATGATACCTTTCCAAAGGGAGCTGCCCCAGTTTGGAGGAGGATCCGTAGATCTCCAATTACCCCACTCCACCCCATATTTTGCAGCCAAAAGGGTTCTCCACCAAGCATTCCTTTCAGAAGCAAATCTCCAAATCCACTTACTGAGAAGGACTGAATTAAAGCTCTTCAGTTTTCTTATTCCCAACCCACCTTCTTCTTTAGGGAGACACACTTGATCCCATTTTACTAGGTTCATTTTTCTTTTCATCTTCCCAACCCCTTCAAAGAAAGTTCCTCTGTAGCTGCTCCAATCTTTTTGCTATTTTGTTTGGGATAGGGAATAGTGAAAGGAAATAGGTGGGAAGATTAGAAAGGGTACTTTTTATTAGAGTTACCCTGTCCCCAAAAGAAAGGTATTTTGTTTTCCAGGAAGCTAATTTTTTCTCCATTCTTTCAATGATTGGATCCCAAACTGAAGAATTAAACCATTTTGCCCCCAAGGATAGTGCCAAATACTTCACAATAAGGAACTCAATCTGACAAGCCATCACCTCAGCACAGTCTTCTAAATTTGAAACTTGACCAACTAGAATAATCTAACTTTTGTTCAAGTTAACTTTAAGCCCATAAACCACCTCAAATCATGATAAGATCACAAGTATTAGTTCCAACTGAACAGGAGAAGCATCAACAAAGCATAAAGTATCATCTACAAACTGGAGAATACTGACCTTTTCCCTCTTAGGAGAAATTGCAAAGCCTTCCTGATGTTACGATTTCTGGTCACATATCAATTTTTTGGCTAAGTACCTCGTCAATTGGTTCGCTTCTAGGTGGCCGATGACTCAGGCACTGAAGTGGAGCTCCCTGGTGTTGTGCAACCCGGCTGCTCCCTAGAGGAGATGATCTGCTCATCTTTGTAGACGGCGGGAACTGAGGGACCTGCGAGAACTGAATCAAAGAACTCGGGGGTGTTAAACGGCGAGGTCACTCCGATGGCTAAGTCAGCACTTAATAGTAGAGCTGAAAATGATATAAGAGAATGAGAGAGCTAGAGGGCAGGGATCACCTCATCACCTTTGCCCCTGGGGGGTGAGGTCTTTATATACTGGAGTCCTCGCGGGTTTGGTGGAGCAGTTCCTGGATTCCCGCTGTGACGGGACCTGCTTTCGTGTTAGGTGGGGATAAAGCCACCAACCGGTAAGGTTGCCCATTTCCGCCTGACTCGGGGAGTGGGTGAGCTAATATAGCCGTTACAAGTCACAATCCCGTAAAATGAGGGGTACGGTGGTGAGCTCCTCGGGGTTGTCATGCGGTGGTCGATCTGACTAGGAGGCGAGCTGCCCGTAAGTGGCGAGCTGCCTAGTGGCAAGCTGCCTGTGCAGTGCCGAATTGTCTAAGTTGCTAGGCTATATGAGGGTGAGCTGCCTGTGGCGAGCTACCTGTGGCAAGCTGCCTGGTGGCGAGCTGCTTAGTTGTTAAGAGGCTGCACTTAGTTGTCATAATGTCATTGGAGGGCCAAATCCACCCTCATCATTTTCCCCCCACTCCCAAGCTGAAAGTAACTTGGCGAAGGGAGTAGATTTCTCCTTTTGGCCCGTAGTTCGACGAGCTCGTAAGCGCTAATTCAGTTTCTTAGGCTTTGGGAGCTGCTTGGAAGCAAGCTGCCCGTAAGGTGCTGAGGTCTCTGCCAGTTCAGTATTTTAGCCCTTAAGCTCTGGGAGCGACTTGTAGTCCACTCTCCTTGGCTTTGCCCATGCCGACGAGGCGGCTGGGTCTTGTGCAGTATTGTAGCTCTTAGGCTTTGGGTGCGACTCATAGTCCACTCCTAGACTTTGCCCATGCCGAAGAGGGGATTGGGTCTTAAGCAGTATTGTAGCCCTTAGGCTTTGGGAGCGACTCGTAGTCCACTCCTAGACTTTGCCCATGCCGAAGAGGCGACTGGGTCTTAA